GTTGTTGTCGTTCTCCCACCCGCGACCCACCCATCGACGCACCCGCGACCCGCCCGCAACCCACCCCGCTACCCACCCGCGACCCACCCTCGACCCACGCCGCGACCCACCCGCGATCCACCCGCCCCACCCCGCGACCCACCCGGCGACCTGCCCCGCGATCCATCCGCGACCCACCTTGCGACCCACCCCGTGACCCACCCCGCGACCCACCCCGCGACCCATCAACGAACCGCCCTGCGACCCGCCTGCAATTCACCCGCAACACAACTTGCCCTGTGGCCCACCCGCGACCCGTCGCGCGCGTCTGATCGGAGGGCTTTTCACTCATCGTAAAAGATGGCCACAGGTCCATCTTTTGTGATGGCGATTCCGATGATGTGCATGAGGATGAGAAAAAAAGGATATGTTAGATTAGGAATGATATAAAGTCAAGGCCGAAACGTGCTGTTTTGCCCGTCGTATAGTAGGGGGTGCCTCGTCGTTTTCTCGGTCACAATGTAAAGGGCGTGTCGATAGAGACGCCTCATCTCGTTACGGGCGTTTCGAAGCTTTTCGAAACGCAGAAGATCTCGAGACCAAGTCGCCCGCCCCTCACTCTTATCCGCAACTGCGGGCGCATACGTAAGGTACATGGCGACGACGAGGGCGTTCCCCCGCTTCCTCCTCCTCCTCCTCCTTCGTCTCCCTTTCGAAATCCTCGCCCTCCTAGTGGTCTGGTTTTTGTCATTACGTTTCCTTCTCCTCGTCCGTCTTCTCCCATCCATTTTGTCTTTTATTATTATTGTTTGTCTTCGTAATGGTTGCATCGCTTCAATGTCTCGCAAAGTACATCCGACCTGTGGATTCTTAACGCTCGTTGCCCGGGCACTGCTCGTAGCGCAAAGTTTTCCCAGATGATCGGCGTCGGCATTGGCGAGTTTTCAGTCGGAGTTAAGGGTTGCAGCCTCCTTCGCCCAGGGCACCAGGGCTCTAGCTAAAGTCTGGCAAGTTGCGACGAGGGCCTCCCCAAGGCCCCCCTAAATAATATCCGCCGGCCCCCTTGTGGGGCCACCAGGCTGTAGGCCCGTGATTCGCAGTTTCCTGTACCAGTTGTAGTTTCTAGTTTCCAGTGTTACAGTTCTGCTTCTTGCTGGTTACTGTAACTAGTTGATTGACCGCGCGAGGGGGGGGAGGCCCAAACAGGATTTTCCAGCGTCCCCTGGGCGCGTTGTCTGAATTGCTGGGGGGGCTCGAAATCGACACCCCTCGCGCAGATCCGCGGGGTCAGGGTCCAAAAACACATGGGATTTGCCACATTTCTGAAATTCGGTGCCACCCCTCACGCAGATCCGCGGGGTCAGGGTCCAAAAAACACATGGGATTTGCCACATTTCTGAAATTCGGTGCCACCCCTCACGCAGATCCGCGGGGTCAGGGTCCAAAAACACATGAGATTTGCCACATTTCTGAAATTCGGTGCCACCCCTCACGCAGATCCGCGGGGTCAGGGTCCAAAAAAAACAGGGGATTTGCCACATTTCTGAAATTCGGTGCCACCCCTCACGCAGATCCGCGGGGTCAGGGTCCAAAAACATAGGGGATTTGTCACGTTTCTGAAATTCGAACCCACCCCTCAGGCAGATCCGCGGGGTCAGGGTCCAAAAACACATGGGATTTGCCACGTTTCTGAAACTCGAACCCACCCCTTACGCAGATCCGCGGGGTCAGGGTCCAAAAACACATGGGATTTGCCACATTTCTGAAATTCGGTGCCACCCCTCACGCAGATCCGCGGGGTCAGGGTCCAAAAACATATGGGATTTGTCACGTTTCTGAAATTCGAACCCACCCCTTACGCAGATCCGCGGGGTCAGGGTCCAAAAACACAGGGGATTTGCCACATTTCTGAATTTCGAACCCATCACGCACATCCATCGCAAGGCGTGGTAACCCAAACTGCGAGAACTCCCTCGGCCCTTTAATCGCAAGGTGTGGTAACCAAGCCCTTAAACCATACACGTCTTACCAATCGCCAGGTGTGGTAACCCCTCTTGTGATCAGTTGTTTTTGCTGATTGCGACTCGGCTTCGCATGAAGTTTCGATACTGCTTCACGACAGCGCCAAGGCCTCATGACTTAGCTCTTCCATGGCCCATTCTCCGAGAGAGGGGGCCGGCGGCAGGGGGCGAAGCCCTTACGGATAAAAAGCGAGGCAAGTGTAGCGGTAGCGGTCCTTGTCCTCCTCTGATACCGCCACTCCCTCGACCTCTCCTAAGGTGCCTTCTGACCAGCATTCCGAGGCGTATCCAGCCCATTGCGACGAGGGCCTCCCAAAGGCCCCCCAAAAATATAATTAGCCTGGCGAAGGACCCAACCATATGCAGTTGTGAGTAATGCTGGTGTGAGTACCGTCTTCGGTGGATCTCCCTATGGGGCCACGAACCGTTTGAGGGGTGTGCCGAAATGGGTGTGGGGGCGGCATGCGAACGTTGCCATTGGGGCCTTCGGTGGAGCTCCTTATGAGGCCACGAAACGTGTGAGGGGTGCACCGAAGTTGGTGTAGGGGCGGCATGCGAACGCAGCCACTGGGGCCTTCGGTGGAGCTCCCTGTGGGGCCACGAAACGTGTGAGGGGTGTGCCGAAATGGGTGTGGGGGCGGCATGCGAACGCAGCCACTGGGGCCTTCGGTGGAGCTCCCTATGGTGCCACGAAACGTGTGAGGGGTGTGCCGAAATGGGTGTGGGGGCGCATGCGAACCCAGTCACTGGGGCCTTCAGTGGAAATCCCAATGGGGCACATGGGGGCCACGAAAACTGGAGGGATTATTTACTTTTCTGTATGTGTGCCAAACATGGTGTGTTGGGAGGCATTACGGACCAGGCCACTGGGGCCTTCGGTGGAGCTCCTATGGAGCCACGAAAACGTGTGAGGGTTGTGCCGAATATGGGTGGTGGGGAGGATTGCGGACCGCCACTGGGGTCTTCGGTGGAGCTCCCTATGGGGCCACGAGCCGTGTGAGGGGTGCGCCGAAATGGTGGTGAAACTGCATGCGAAACCTGCCACTGGGGCCTTCGGTGGAGCTCCCTATGGGGCCACGAACCGTGTGAGGGGTGCGCCAGAATGGGGCGGGGCCGCCATGCGAACGCAGCCACTGGGCCTTCGGTGGAGCTCCCTATGGGGCCACGATCCTCGTGAGGGGTGCGCCGAAATGGGGCGGGGCCGCCATGCGAACGCAGCCACTGGGGCCTTCGGTGGAGCTCCCTATGGGGCCACGAACCGTGTGAGGGGTTGTACCGAAATGGGTGGTGGGAGGAATGCGAACGCAGCCACTGGGGCCTTCGGTGGAGCTCCCTATGGGGCCACGAAGCGTGTGAAGGGTGTGCCGAAATGGGTGCGGCGCCGCCATGCGGACGCAGCCACTGGGCCTTCGGTGGAGCTCCCTATGGGGCCACGAAACGTGTGAGGGGTGTGCCGAAATGGTTGCGGCGCCGCCATGCGGACGCAGCCACTGGGGCCTTCGGTGGAGCTCCCTATGGGGCCACGAAACGTGTGAGGGGTGTACCGAAATGGGTGGTGGGGAGGCATGCGAACGCAGCCACTGGGGCCTTCGGTGGAGCTCCCTATGGGGCCACGAAACGTGTGAGGGGTTGTTCCGAATAATGGGTGGTGGGGAAAAAGCATGCGGGGCCCTGCCACTGGGGCCTTCTGGAGACCCCATATTGGGGCCCGAAAAAAACGTGTGAGGGCGTGTGCCGAAATCATTTTCAGTGGTGGGGAGGCATGCGGAACCTGCCACTGGGGCCTTCCGGTGGAGCTCCCCTATGGGGCCACGAAAACGTCGTGAGGGGTGTGTCGAATTGGGTGGTGGGGGGAGATTGCGGACCCTTCACTGGGGCCTTCGTGGAGGCTCCCTATGGGGCCCACGAAAGGTGCGAGGGGTGTGCCGAAAATCGTGTTGGGGATGATGATGATGATGATGATGATGATGATGATGATGATGATGATGATGATGAGGATGGGATGATGATGATTGATTGTGATTGATGATTGATGATGATGAATGATGATGATGTATGATGATGATGATGGATGATGATGATGATGATTGATGATGATGGCAGGAGGGAGGGGGGGGGGAGGAGGAGGAGGTGAGGAACGCGGGGCGCCGTCTCTTCAAAACGAGGACCCAACACCACAGGATGGTTGGGAAAAAGCAAAGCAAGTGTAGCGGTAGCGGTCCTTGTCCTCCTCTGATACCGCCACTCTCTCGACCTCTCCCAAGGTGCCTTCTGACCAGCATTCCGAGGCGTACACAGCCTATTGCGACGAGGGCCTTCCCAAGGGCCCTCAAAAAAGGAAAAGCGAGGCAAGTGTGGCGGTATCGGCCCTTGTCCTCCCCTGAGGGCCTCCATGTCGAAGACCTCGACGTCGCCGCCGCGGTAGTTTGCCAGCAGCAGCCGCCCGTCGGGGCTCCACGACGCGCCGCTGACGCCCACGTCCGCCGCCTCGTCCAGCGGCCCCCGCGCCGAGTGCAGCGAGACCACTGGCGTGGGCATGGCGCAGAGGAACCAAACGACGTCATACGCATAGACTCCTGGAGCTCCGCTGGCCCCCCCCCCCCTGGCGCGCGGAGGCGCCACCAGGGGGGGCACACAGCGCCGATCCAAAAATTCCACGCGGAGCTCCGAAAATTTCTGCGTATGCCTTCGAAGGAGGCAGCTACTGGGAGGTCTTCGTCGGAAGGACTCAGGAGGAGTCAGCCCCCTCGGGGGGCCGCCACGCTGGATTCGGCCGCGGATCGAGCGGGAATCGGATTGTGCCAGATCCAGCGGGAGGAGGAGAAGGATGAGGAGGAGGAGGAGGAGGAGGAGGAGGAGGAGGGATGAGGAGGAGGGAGGAGGAGGAGGAGGAGGAGGAGGAAGAGGCGAGAGGAGGAGGAGGAGGAGGAGGAGGAGGAGGAGGAGGAGGAGGAGGGAGTGCCTCCCAGGAGGTGCACCCGAGCATGCCGTTGCCCGTTCCTCGCATGGGCGGGGGCGCGGCCTCGCGCCCGCTCGGCAGGGCCCGGAGGTCGTAGAGCCTCAGGAACGGGTCGTTCCCGCCGACGGCCAGCAGCCAGTCGCTCCTTACCAGCCTCGAACGCATCCCTATCCCAAAGATTGACACGCCAGAAGGCGATGACAATCTTAGGGATCCGCCCTCAAAAAATAAGGGAACCCCTGAGACTGGCATCGTGATGAGAAGGTGCCCAGTATAGGGATACGGATATGTTCCAGGCTGGTGAGCTCCTCGGCGACACCTCGAGGCAGGTCAGCCCCACGCCGCGCGCGTCGATGGCGACGCGGTGGCCGGGCTCCCGGAGGTCGAACCTCGGCGGCGAGCGAGGGGGGGAGTGCGCAGGCGAGGGCCCTCTCGGAAGGCGGCGGGACTCCTCAGAAGCCCTCGCCGGGCCCTCGCGCCTCCTCCTCCACCCCTCCCTCCCCCTCCCTCCCTGCCTCCTCCCTCCTCCCTGCCTCCTCCTCCACACCCTCTTCCTTCCACATGCCTCCACCCCGTCGCAGCGAGGCAGGTCGGCAGGGGGGGGGCCAGGCGCTTCGCCCGGGAGATCCATGAAAGCATTGCGGTTTCTTTTCTCGGGAGCGGCCAAGAGGGGGGTGTCCAAGAGGGGGGGGTGCAAATCATGACCGGCGGCATGTGCGCGGCCCAGCGGGGGGGCCAGGGACGTAATGAAATCAGAAGAGGCGCCATGAAATCTGGGGAAATATCATGGCCCCCGCCATGATATCCACCCCCCCCTAGTCATCACCCCCCTCTTTTCCGCCCCCGATCTTTTCGGGGAAGGCTCGGACAGCGTATCAGAGGGCCGGGGCACTTCCGAGCCCTCCGGGGCGGCGTTCTCCTTCTCACTTCCCCCCCTCGCTCGCCGCCAAAGAACCGCCGGGCTCGGCCGTCGCCAAAGGCGGTGAAGAAGACGTCTGGTCCGTCGCGGCTCGCAAACCCCACCTTTCAAGGGGCCCCAGAACACACAAATAAATACACACAAATAAAAATATCCCCTATATTTTTCCATAGTTTCTGGGTTTTTGTCTCCCCCACCACTTCCCATATTTTCCCATATTTTCCTAGGGATAGACGATTAATTGTGTCTGTGTGTTTCTTCCCCTCCTGAACCTTGAACGCCTGGTAGCAGCCCATGAAGGGTTCGGGCTGGAACAGCAGTTGGCTGGACTGCGAGGTCGACTCCACCTCGGTGAGGCAGACGAAGCCGTCAGCCCCACACGATATCACCTGGGGCCAGGCAGAACCGCCTCGTGCGCCCTTGGCTATCCCTGGAAACCCGCCGGCCCCCTTGTGGGGCCACCAGGCTGTAGGGCGAAGGTTTGCTGCTCCCTATAGGCCAGTTGCAGCCTCCAGTTTCCAATGCGATCGCTCTACTTTCTGCTTCCTACTGTTAGTTGTTACTGTACGCGCAAGGGGGGGGGGAGGGGGGGGGGGGGGGGGGGGGGGGGGGGGCTGAAAAGCGCGGGTTTAGCAAGCCCCTTCGGAGATTCGCAGACTTCCCGGAGGGCCGTGGGACAAGTAAAAATACATGAGGCCATAAACTCATTTAAATTATACATGTGTCGCGTCCCCGAGGCCAGAACCCCTTGTAAATCACACAATCTTCGCGTCCTCGAGGCCATACATCCTCGCAAATTACACGAAGATTCGAGTCCCCGAAACCATAAACCCTTTTCAATCATATAATACTCGCGCCCCAAAGACCATAAACCCATGTAAATTACATAGGAGAGAAAGTGATCCACCGCCGCTCTACCGTGGAAAATTCCCCCCCCCTTCTTCCTCCCTTCCTCCGGAAACCCGGGGGGGGGGGGGTTCCCCCCCCCCCCACCCCCTCCGAAAATCCCCCCCTCCCTGCTAGGAATCCCCCCCTCCACCTTTCCAGCAGGCAAAAGCCCCCCCTTCCCCGACCCCCCCTCGGAAGCCCTGGGATGGGCATACGGTTCGAACCTCCCCCCTCTCTCCGGGAAAAACGGGCGGGTCCACACCGGTTTCGAACCCCTCCCCCCCCCCTCCCCCAGAAAACCAGACGGGGGTCACTATGCCGGTTCGAACCCTTCCCCCCCCCTTCCAGAAAACCGGGTGAGGTCACTACCGGTTCGAACTCCCCTCCAGAAAACCAAAGTGGGGTCACTACCGGTTCGACCCCCCCCAGAAAACTGGGGGGGGGTGTCACTACCGGTTCGAGTCCCCCCCCCCCCGTCTGAAAAAAAACCGAGGGCGGGCGTGTCTCTAAATGAGGGGGGGTGACCAGACGGAACCCCTCCCCACCCCTCTCGCTCACTGCCAGCAACGGCTCCGGGGTCCCTGAACCCGTCCGCACCACCATGTCCCAACTCCACTGTCCTCACCACACTGTCCCCTGTTCCCACCACCGTCCTCACTGTCCCACTGGTTGCCCCCACCAATGTCGCAAGGGCCCCCACTGTCCCACCACTGTTCCACCACGTCTCCCTCTCCCAACTTTTCTCACGACCCCACTTTCTCACGGCCCCAACCACTGTCTCCACTGCGCCCAGGGCTCACATGCCCCACTGTCCCCGCCGTGTCACACTGAGTGTACCACTGTTCCCATCCACCTGCCCACACTGTCCCCACACTGTCCCCACTGTACCTCTGTCCCATGTCCCACCGCCGTCCACGCCACCGCCCTCACCCACTGTCCCCTCACCACTTGTACCTCACTGTCCCACTGTTTCCCCCACTTCCCACTGTCCCCTCACACTGTCCCCCCACCACCGTCCCCACCACTGTCTCCCACTGTCCCAGCTGTTCCTTACCATTGTCCCCGCTGTCCCCACCAGTGCCCCCCACCAGTGTCTCACTGTCCCCACTCCCCCCACCATTGTCCCACCACGGTCCCACTGTCCCCACTTTCCCCACGGTCCCCACCACTGTCCCACTGTCTCCACTGTACCCACCACTGTCCCAGTGTCCCCGCCGCTGTCCCACTGTGCTGTCCCACCGTCCCCAGTGTCCCCATCACTGTCCCACTGTCCCCACTGTCCCCACCACTTTCCCCACTGTACTACTATACTATCCCACCACTGCCCTCACCACTGCCTTCACCACTGCCCCCACCACTACCGTCCCCACCACTGTCCCACTGTCCCCACCACTGTCCCGCTGTCCCCTCACCACTGTCCCCACCACCACCGTCCCCATCACTGTCCGCACCACTGTCCCACTGTCCCCGCACCACTGTCCCCACCACCACCGTCCTCACCACTGTCCCAGCATCCCCACCATTGTCCAACTATCCCGAGGAGCGGGAATCGTTTGCCAGCGGCGAAGGGGGGGGGGTCGAAACGGTAGTGACCCCCCCCGGTTTTCGAGGGGAGGGGGGGGGGGAAGGGTTCGAACTGATAGTGACCCTCCCCCCTTTTCATGATGGACTGGGGGGGGATTCGAAGCGGTAATGACCCCCTTCCGGGTTTTCGAGAGGGGGGGGAGGGGGGAAGGTTGGGAAACTAGAACATTGTAAATTGCAATAGAGGCCACAAACCTGTGTAAATGATTCAATATTCGCGTCCCCGAAACGATATAATCTCGTAAGATACGCAATAGTTGCGTCCCCGAGGCCATACACTCTAGTAAGTTGCACCTTTCTTGCCTCCCCGAGGCCACAAACCCTGGGAATCACACCATGTTCACGTCCCTGGGGCCATAAACCTGTATAAGGTCATGAACCCGCGTAAAATCACGCCATCATTGCGTCCCCGAGGCCACGAATCCTCGCCATATTCGCGTCCCCGGGGCCATAAACCTTCACACGTTACTCCGTAGTTGCGCCCCGAGGCCATCAGCCCTCGTGAACTACGCAATGTTGGTGTCACCGAGGCAGCACAAAAAACATGAGTTACACAAGATTCGCGTCCCCGAAGCCATGAACCTTTGTAAATTACTTGGTATCTGCGCCACCAAGGCCATACACCGTGTAAATGATTGGATATTCGCGTTCCCGAGGCCAGAAACCCTCGCAAATCATACGAGATTCGCGTATTCGAAACCATAATCCCTCGAGGCCACAAACCCTCCCACATTATGCAAGATTCGCGTCCCCGGGGCCATAAACCGTCGTACATTACGCAGTCGTTGCGTCCCCGAGGCCATAAACCTTAGTAAATTACGCTACCGAGGAACCCCACATACTTACATTATGGCTGGGGTAATGGTACCTGAAGTGACGCATGTGAAGAATGATGGTTGGTGGCGTTGCCCCCCACCGATACTTGCAAGGACGGCCGTCGCGGATAGCGGCCGCGCTCAGGGACCACCCCGTGCGCACCCCGTGTGGTGTCGAGAAAACGCCACGCTTCCTGTGCCCTGGACGACCGTCACTGATAGCGGCCGCGCTCAGGGACCACCCCGTGCGCACCCCGTGTGGTGTCGAGAAAACGCCACGCCTGTTGTGCCCTGGACGACCGTCACGGATAGCGGCCGCGCTCAGGGACCACCCCGTGAGCACCCCCTGCGGTGTCGAGAAAACGCAAAGCGTGCTGTGCCCTGGACGACCGTCACGGATAGCGGCCGCACTTGGGACCACCCGTGCGCACCCCTGTGGTGTCGAGGAATACGCCACGCCTGCTTGGGCCGAAACACGCCAGCCTGCTGTGGCCTGGCGACCGTCACGCTGGACGACCGTCACGGACAGCGGCCGCGCTCAGGGACCACCCCGTGCGCACCCCCTGTGGTGTCGAGAAAACGCCACGCCTGCTGTGCCCTGGGCTGTGCTGTGCTGTCCTGTGCTCTGCTCTGCTCTGCTCTGCTCTGCTGAGCTGTGCTGAGCTGTGCTGAGCAGTGCTGTGCTGTGCTGTGCTGTGCTGTGCTGTGCTGTGCTGTGCTGCGCTATGTGAGAAGGGGAGGAGGAAGGTGCGGGAGACGCGGGTGCGACGAGGCAGAGAAGAAAACCAGAACCCCACTAAGCATGTGGGGAATAAAGAATTCAACAATACGTTGTGAACCTGAATATGCCGCTTACCAATCGCCTTCGCATGAGGTTCCGGCATTGCTTCACAATGGCGCCGAGGAAATCCAGCATAACATTGGCATATTCCATTATGTTAGACAGGGGGGCGCCGGCAGGGGGCGAAGCCCTTACGGATACATATATATATATATATATATATGTGTATATATATATGTATGTACGCAGAGCATTTCGGTTCCAGCGCCAACTTCTGCGCTTTCGGAGCTTGAGACGGGTGCGGAAACAGAGTTAGATTATCGTTCGTGTAAGGGACACAACTGCGACCACGAGGTGGAAACGATTCCAACATGGTCGACCCACGAACCCGGAAAGGAATATAGGAATGTAAGGCATGGCAACATTTCAAAGACACCTGATTGGGCGACGGGCAAATGCAATGCTGAATGTATCGATCTTGATGTACTGTGCCGAGGGCTGTGCTGTGCTACGCCGTGCTGAACTGCGATGTGCCTTGGCGCGATTGTGCTATATATATATATATACCATTGCGGATCGAGTCATCTTTGCATCCGAGTCCTGACCGAACTGATCTGGATCTTAAGCTCGAGCTGCCTGAGCACATAGTAGCTGCCCCAGAACTAATCGACAGAGGGGACATGCCAGGAGGACGCGCCGCGGAACGTCCCAAGGGACGCGCCAAGCGACGTGCCAGGGGACGTGCCATGGGGACGCACCGCAGGACGTGCCAGGGGGACGCGCTACGGAACGTGCCAATGGACGTGCCGCGGGACGTACCATGGGACGCGCCGCGCGACGTGCCAGGGAGACTCGCCACGGAATGCGCCAAGGAACGTGCCAAGGTGCAATGTTGAGTGTATCGATCTTGATGTACCGTGCCGAGGGCTGTGCTGTGCTGGGCCGTGCTGAACTGCGATGTGTCATGCCGCGATTGTGCTCTATATATATATATATATATATACCGTTGTGGATCGAGTCCCGTTTGCATCCGAGTCCTGACCGAACTGATCTGGATCTTAAGCTCGAGCTGCCTGAGCAGATGGTAGCTGCCCCAGAGCAGATGGTAGCTGCCCCAGAAAATTCGACAGGGGGACATGCCAGGAGGACGCGCCGCGGAACGTCCCAAGGGACGCGCCAGGCGACGTGCCAGGGGACGTGCCATGGGCACAAACCGCGGGACGTGCCAAAGGGGACGCACTCGGAACGTGCCAATGGACGTCGCACGGGACGTGCCAGGGGGGACTCGAACACGGATAAACGGGCCCCTCGCGAACGTGCC